CCATTTTCCGAATCCCGAGACTCTCTCTTCTCCACCCCCACACTTTTTTCTTCTTTCTTGCCGTTGACTGACCGCTTCTGTAATCATCAAAATCTCTCTCTTTCTCTCTCTGTCTGCTCTTTTTTCTCTTTTCAAAAATTTATATACACCCATTTTTGAAAAACCCAAGTGGTGGCCAGTTTCAGTTTCGGTTCACACAAATGAGTAGTGACCTCCACTCTCTGTCTTCGCCACTGGCTTTTGCAGTTATGGACGCCGCCACTGCCGCCGTCGCCGTCGCCGTCGACCCATGTTTCTCGCCGGAGCTTTCCACCGGTTATTTGGAAGACGCCTTGGTTGAGTTCACTTCAAAACGACGACGCTTGCTCCTCAACGATCACATTCACAATAATAATCTTGTTGATCAATTTCAATTTCCTCAGAGCTACTGGAGTTCGTATTGCACGTGGGGGGCGGACGCCGATAATGCCTCCGACACTTTCGATTGGACCAACCAAATTTACGATTTCAATAATTATGATGCAGTTTCAGCAGGTGGGGTTCTTTTTTTTCCCTTAAATTTTAATTTATGACGTACGATTCATAAGTTCATAATTAATTAATGACTATTTTGTGGAATTATGGTCATTATTATTGTGGGAGAAGCTTGTAATTTGAGTTAACTTTTTTGGCAAAAAGAAAACAAACGTACGGTTGGATGGGTTGGAAAAGTTTTGTTGGGATTTAATTGAATGAAGAAACTGAAATTGGTTTCGGTTTTGGTTGGGTTTAATTACTAATTGTTATTTATTATGTGCAGATGAGCTGATAAGCACTTCGCCGAAAAGCAGAATCAGTGAGGAAACCAATTATACGGATGTGTCAGCGATGAAAACGCCGGAAGTAGAAGCGTTTTCGACTCCTAATTATAATAATTACTGCTATGAACATCCAAATTCTTCTTCGTCTTCCTCTAAACACCAATTCCACGCTGAGTTTTTGGCTGATAAACAAACAATTTTATCCCTCTCCCGCAAGCTGCCTTTATCTTCAGGTGATCCACTTTTTTCTTTCTCTCTCTCTCTCAATTTTATATTTCGTTTTGATCGAAAAAAAGATATGGGTATTGAGCACTAGAATTGTAAACAAAAAGACGATCTTGGTGGGGTATTATATATTATATATAGAATATATAATGGCGTAATAGAATTATTTCTTAATAACTTTCATGGTTTTTTTTTTCTTCTTCAAATTTAGTTAATTAGAAAAGCTAAAAAAGATTAAATTTAAAATATTTTCATAATTTCTCTTAAGTTTTTTGTCTGCTGCATGTTGGAGCTTATATATTGGTATAATTTTGAAATATTAATTTGGGCTTTTTTTTTTGAATTAATTAATCAGGTGGTGGAAGTGAAACAAAAAACTTGAAGAAGAGGAAGGTGGTGTATCCATTTGCATTGGTAAAGCCAGGAGGCGTAGAAGGGGACATAACCTTAAATGACATAAACCAAAAAATCTTAATGCCTCCGACCCGGCCGGTCCGTCACCCGGTCGGAGATTTCGCATGTCGGCCGTGCGTGTCGGCGGACGGACCGGGTCTCTCCGGCAAAGCCGTGGTGGCGCTCACAAGAATCCACACTCAGGGAAGGAGAGGCAGCATCACCATTATTAGAACCAAAGGTTAATTAATCAAATATTAACCCAAATATTGCGCTAGAGTTGTGTATAGAGGAGAGAGAGAGAAAAATGTGTATGTAATATAATGATTGAGAGAGAGAGAGAGAGAGGGAAAAGTTAATGAATTTGTACTTAGTATATAGTTTAAGGCTGCACTGTAATTGATTAATGAATATTTGGGTCACATTATTCCTCTCAAAGCTCAAATCGCCATCAGAAGAGAAACAGTCTTTTTGGGTCTGAACCCAACAAGGCGTGCAACAGAAAAAAGGAGAAAGAAGTCCAAAATAAGAAAATTTGGAGTACAAAAAAACTGAAGGGAGGAGAGAAGAGAAATACACAAGAGAAAAGTAAAAAAAAAAATGCCCACTCTCTCCATAATTAAGAAGGATATAATGGACCACTATATGAACAATTAAAAAGTATCTTTTTAAAATATTCGGTCACGAGAACAATAATTTTTAGAGTGGACGATTACATTCACGAGAAATGTATATGTCATTCTCTCTAGCTAATAATACAATTAGTCACGCATTATCATCCCATAATAAATGATAGGTTCATAATATTTTTTTATTGAATTTTTTTCATTATTGCACACTATGGATATCACGCATGAATTGTCTACAAAATTGGCCGTGGCATTGGCTTTGGGCAATAACTTCATTAGCTATGATATTTACTTTGGAAATTAGCTTGTAGGTCTAAGAAACTAAATTTTTACCTATTCATTAGAACTCGTCATAGCTAACAAATGTCATAGCGAATGACGTCATATATTCAGCAATAGATTCTACATTAATTTTTACAATATTTGTTAAAAATTAAAATTTAAAAACAAAACATAATTATAATTTTCTTTTCATATGTTACGTTGAAGTGGGGTTGGATGGTGTCTGATTAAGATCAACTGCCAAAACTCAATATGAATATAGTTGAAAACGATCCGAATTTAAATTTCTATACATTATACATTGAAAACAAAAAAAAAAAAGAAATTTATTATATAATAATAAAACCTTAATAAAAGCAGCCATTTCGTATATGGTCGCAGTGACAGCCGCTGACACCAGAAAAAGGAATAAATACGAAACTCAGAATCCACTGCTGAATATATAATTGCACAATAAAAACACTATTATTAAATTACGAGTTTTGTTTATTTTTTCCAACGAAAGGAGAATTGGTATTGAAATTTGATAAATTTATAAAATATGGTTCATTCCAATGATTAGTGGAGGTGGAGTATATAATATTATTTATATATTTGAAAGTTTGGCCCTTGTCTGTTAAGCTGGGCACTGGCAGAGAAATTTGTTCTCTCCAATTGCATGTCGTCTTCTTCAAAGGTCAAAACTCGTTTATTTCAAAATTTCCAGACAGTATCCAACACGTGGGCCACCCCCTCTACTTCTTCCACTCTATAATTTTGCTACACCCACCCAACATCACAGCCGTCCAATCCCTTGACCTTCACCCCTCATCAGACGGTTGGGATGCAAATACACTCTAATCAGTCAGCCGACAAACAATGCAACATATCTATGCTTCCAAATAACGTCTGAGCTAAATTATAAATCTAGTCCCTACAATCCATTTTAATTTGATGACTTTAGAAGTTTTAATTTAATCCTCTATAATTTTTTAATTTATTCAGGTAGATTTAAAAGTTCCGTTTTAGTTTAGTTAATCTTAAAAAATTGTCCTTGCGGTTATTATATTAAGACATCATAATAAGCTAATATTTTTTATTTGAATAACAAATTGCTTCATTGGTAATATTTTCATTTCTTGTTTTAATGATTGTAGAAAGAATTTCTTCTCACTAACGAAGGATCACAATAAAGTAATAATAGTCCGGTGGTCTATAAAGCCAACTACTGAATATATATTGAAAAATGACTTACAAAGTTACAAAGTTTTATTCGTGTGGATAAAATATTGAAAAATGACTTACAAAGTTTAATAAAAAAATATCAAATTAAAAATTTTAAAATCATAGAAATCAAATTAAAATTAAATCTAAATGATGAGGACGATTGAAAATTTTAAAACTACCCGACTAAAAACTATACAAGTCCTAAAGATTATGAATTTAAATTGAAAGAGAGGATATCATATTATTAAAAAGAAAATCATTACCGTAAAGTCTGTTACATCCAATGGCTGTCATTCAATTAAAGTCAAAAAAGAAAAAATATGGAAGTGGAGAAGATTATAAAGTGAGGAAATGATATAAAAGCTGTATCGCATAATTGTGGAATGCAATACCTACTTGTTTGAACATTTTCAGCGATGACTGATTTGGATTCGGTTTTGTCCATTTTTCAAAATATAACATCTACTCTTATTTATTTATTTATGACATGGAAGTGCGGAATGCTCTCTCTCTATCTTCTTTTTTTTTTCTCTTTCTTTTTCTTTCTTTATAGTTTTGACTTTTATCTGACTTTTGGTAGGATGTGTTCGGTTAATTGAATGACAAATTTCATAATCAATTAATAATTAATCTTATTATTTGACACACATATTTTCAATTTATGTAGTTTGGAATTTGAAAACATCAAGTTCTAGATTTGATATATGATTTGAGTTTGTAATATCCATAATCTTGATTTTTTGTAATTCATCCCTATTTTACATTTTAACGTTTAGAAGATTTATGTCTCTAAAACTTTCAAAACTCATGGATTACTTTTCACAAAAAATAATAACAAATAAATAAAAGAATAAACATTATGGATTAAATGTTTGGTGTATGAAATTGTGAAGTGACATTATTCCTTTTCTAATTTTTATTATTTTTTACATATATAATTTTTTTAGAACAAGTATATAATTATTGAAATAGGATCATGTCAACATTTAAAGGGTGTAAATATCAATTTTTTTTTTAGAACAAGTATATAGTTATTGAAATAGGATCACGTCAGCCTTTAAAGGATGTAAATGTCAATTTTCATTGACAATATTATATAAATAATACATCAGTTAACCTAATCAACTAATTAAGTATTCATCAAATCTTAATTGACATCAAAAGATTAATTTATTTAATCTTTTAATATATAAAAAATATGTATTATGCACACACTTTAGGAATTTTTTTTCTCTAATATTAATATTTTAAAAACTATTTTCAACTAGACGAACATTTAATTAATAGTCATTTCTGGAAGAGACGACATCATTGCTTCAATGAAAACAAACAAACAAAATATTACAATATTATATAAATTGAAAATAGCACAACAATCATAGAATTAGGATTAGTATTCAAGACTTACATTGAATGTAGGCCCTAATTTTTTATTTTATATAATATTGTAATAGTTTTTTTTTAAAAAAAGATGACTTATTATTGCTGACTATAGAGAGATGACCAACTATTTTATGAACATTATTCTTAAAAATAGTTTCGTTTGATAACATATTTTTGAAAATAATGGTAAAAATAGTAATATTAAAAAAATAATAATAAAGTCCCACACTTTGGCCATTCAAATAAATAGATGGATTCTTTTATGGAAGAGGGTTCTTTTCCAGCTGGCGGTGAATATGAACCTTCTTGAACCTAAAAATGAAAAGGTAATAAATTTGTCTTTTTGTTGCTTTAATTTCTTTGGGATAACTTGGGGTTGAAGGAAACTCAAATTCTTCACCTCCATTTGGAAGCATAAATTTAGAAAGTAAGAAAAAAAAACAGTATTAATTTAAACTAGAAAATGAAAAAAAAAAAAGTGAAATTATACAAAAACCTATTAACAATATTTTAACTTAGAAATGAAAAACAAAAATAAAATAGGAGGGTCTGTTTCGTAGTTACCTAGGTGCCGGTATATATCTCTCATTTACCACAACTAAAATATTGACAGTTATTTATTATTTTCTTTTGTTTCTTTTTTAGGTATAAGTCTCTCAATTTCAAGAGATATTTACTTACTTACTTGGGAGCACTTCAATATTTTGTAATATTATGAATCGAAATTATAAAGTTGTCCCATTTGGATCTCAACCAATGATTGCTTTGTATTTAAAAAGTGGATTCTATTGTGTCACATGCCAACCATTAATTTTCAATATTAACTTTCTTCATTATTATAATCTAGTAGGGGAAGAAAAAAAAGAAAAGAAAAGAAAAGAAAAGAGAACCTATTTTTATTTTAGAAAAAGAAATGAAAGAAAATACTAGATATGCGTGAGAATGTCTGCTGCTTTTGCTTTAAATTTCTGTCTTTAATTTTTTTCCCCTTCTTCAAATCTCTAAAGATGAGAAAATTTGAATATATTTTTCTTTAATATCTCTTGGGATTTCAACTGTGAGTTTTTTTTTTCAAAAGTTATTTATGACGTCAACAGTATAGTTCATGATGTCGGATCCCACTATGGAAAACGACATTGGCGGATCATGATTGTGAGATATGGTGGGCCAAGCCCTTGCTACCTTGGGCCCAATAATGGCTCAGAAAATGGGCTTTGACGAATAAATCTTTTTATAGTAGGCCCAAGCACATACGTACCTTTGACCCATATTTAGTTGGATAAATTTGGAAGGGGAAACAAAAATATTACAAAGATTAACAAATATAATATATTTGAATAAACAATTGTAAACAGTACTAAAAAAAATGTTAAACATAGGGATTTCCTTTTAAAATTTATTAAATATTGATTAACTTCAATAATGGTAAATTAATTTTTTTAATAAGATAGCAATGGATAACTGAATTACTATTGATAATCTATAAGTATAACGGTAGGTTCTACCTAGCATGTAATTGTAATCCATATTTTGTCTACTTATAAATTAATTGTTTTTTAGTACAAAAAAATGTGGGGATTGAAGACTGAACCTTCCGCCTCTAAGAAATGAGCAATATATTTTAACTAGTGAACTATATTTATATTGGCTACCTATAAATTAATTGTATCACTAATTAACCTACGTATTTAATAGTTGTTTCGATAATTAACTAATATATTAAATATATATTATTGATTAGTCTATTTAGTTCAATCTTTTTATTTCATTAATACAAATTAATTAGAGATAAGTAATGTTTGACGAGCAAACATGAGTTTAGCTCGGTAATAATTGACATATAACTATGACCAAGAAGTTATGAGTTCAAATCTCCCCCTCAACTTGTTGTAAGGGGAAAAAAAGTAATATTTGATGGGTTG